GTCTGCTTAGTGGTTCTATTTTTTACCTATCAAATTTAAGTGTAAAAATATGCTTTTGGTATTCTCAGGCAGAAGTGGGGGAAAAAAAAGGGTCCCAGGTCACAGCTGGAGAGGCTGTGTTGCACGCAAGTAAGTGCACATGAACATTTGCACAGGGTCCAAGCTTTCTGAGTCAACCACAGTCTCATTGTGGGGATAAAACCACTAAAGCAGCTGCTGAGCTTCCTGAGGTATCTCCAGTGGTGTAACGAGAAGCCACAAGGAGAACATATAGAGAGTATCTATATTATGAATTATAAAGAGTAACTGCCATGGGAACTTCTGTTTCCCATATCTCCTAATAAATGAGGAGAGACACATTTGAGATGAAAAGGCCACAAAGCTTTAAGAGGGATATATTTTTTTTATAGACTTGCTGCCTTATGACATTACTAAAGGAAACACAGCTGCCAGAAGTTCATACACTTTTGAACAACTCTATTGTAGCAGCTATGATAATATCTATGACATTACACTACCAAGAATAAATGTCTTGTTCTACCAGTTGCTGATTATCAGAGTCCTGTAAAGCATGACATCGAAAAATGCCAGGATTTGTACTCTACTAAAAATACGATTTTACATGAAAATGGAAATATATTTCAAATTTTTGCTGTTGTTCTCTGACTCTTCTGCTAAAAGTCACTCAGGAAGCAAAGGACTTAGTCATACTGACCCCAATCTACCTGCCAGGCAGGAACAACTGTGCCTATCAATTTTAAGGGAACTACTGCTTTCTCCTGATTCAACATTTCTTGCACTTCATTTTCTCAAGGCACAGCAGAAAACAGGAAAATACTGAAATGTTAATAACTGGCTATGGTCTCTGCAGCATCCTCCCAATCTCTTTGACTGAATTTAAGATGACTACATTGTAGGAGATACAGATCACATTACCATGACATTAATGTTTCATTGTCATCATGAATACTGGCATGAGGCATATTCCACATTTATAGATGGTTGCTTTGGGAAATACCAGGTCTTCTCTTTACCTTTTTAGTAGTGTCAGTACACAGCTTTTAAAATGAGACCTTCCCCAGATAAACTGGAGTCTCTTGCTGCAAAGGAAGTTAAGCACACATTTTGCTAGCACACTTCCACAGCAGTTTGTTGACCAGAGAGAACAGAGGAGTATCTAGCTCAATTAGTTTGCAGAGTGGTGTGCATGCTGTAGTCACTTGCAGACTCATTTGCAGACCCTCTTCCCCTCCTTCTCCACACCAGGCCCTTTTTGCTCACAGCCTCTCTAGCTCATCTTCTCAGCATCTCATTTTGGTCCATCTTCATCATTCCTAACCACTTGTTATCTATTCCTTGTGGTGTCTCCATTGCTTGCCAGAGTCTCTTCTCTTTAATCTTTCTGGCTCACCTCCCTAAAAGCTTGACAGTGCAGGATGGATGCAGGTGCTCAGGGCCCCAGTCTCCTCCCCAGGTCCCAGATGGGGGATTTGTGGTTCAGGCCCCCCCAGGTCCCAGATGGGGGATTTGTGGTTCAGGCCCTCTGGCAGTGAGCTGGAAGATACTCCTTCACTCGGTGGGTCTTGAAGTTTGTCACTGCTCATTTCAAGTATATATATATATATATATATACACACACATATATATGTATATATATATATATATATATATATTTAGGGACTCATAGCATCACAGGGCTCAGATGATATTTCAAAAACAAGGTGAAAATGCTAATCTTGGCTATCTTAATCCAAATCTTCATCCCAAAGCCTGGAGAAACCAAAGCTCTTCAGGGAAAGAAGTGATTTTTTAATTAAATCATCATTTAATTATTTTTTAAATCATCATCAAAAGCCCATATGTATATATAGACTTGTTCTGAGGAATGAATTTTTTTTTTCCTGTGAAAAAAGTACAGCCTGAAACACAGTCATTGTGGATAATTTCCAGCTAAACAGTTCAGGTTTAAGGGTTATTTTTTTAGTGTTAAACCTCGCCATCTTTGTAATTAAGCTGTATCCCCTGTGTACATATGTATCTATTCATATTCTGTAGTCATGCATCCAATATACTAATCCTGTCAAGGAAATGTATACCATGATTGACTTTCCAAACAACCATATTCTTAATAATGGAAAATAAAGGAAGAAAACATGGGAGATCAATCATTTGGATACACACCGGGATAAAGCACAAACATTATCCCTGCATTTCTGGCCTCTGGCATTATCCACTATATAATTTCAACTACCCTACTCTTTCATAAATCAGCTGCTTAACAGATCTGTGGAGAATAACTGTCAGAAAATTGAAGAGAATGTAAAAGCATTATATCTGGGAAAATAAGAGAAGACTGAGTGAAATGATTGAAAACACAGAATAAAGACTTTTTAGAACAGTAACTTAAATGACCAAATCAATCTTCTTTCCCTTGCTTTTCTATTTACCCACAAAAGAGTCAGTCATGAAGTTCACATACAAGAACCAGCTAGGTTAACGTACATGTATTTTTCATCCCTTTATTTCAAACTCTTCTCAAGAAGCACCCTCTAGTTAACATAGAACTTTCTAGCAATTTTTTTTTTTTAATTCTTTTCTAAAACCTTTGTCAGTATTTTCCACAAGGCTCCCTCCCCTACAGGAATGACCTGTGGAGGACAGGCCATCAGGGTAGATGTCCATCTAAAGGATTCCCCAGTTGTCCTTGGGGAGAGAATGCCATTTGAATTAAATTGCAAATTAAACTCCCTTTACCAATCCTACAGGCTTCTGGAGAAAAACCCCGTGATCTCATTTACACAGAGGGTCCACCATCACCCTGTGGTTCACTTGAAACTTCACTACCAGGTCTCTGCTACATGGCTCATGCTCTCAAGAGGACGACTCACACATAGAATTCACCATTTTCCATGACAGCAGACCAAAAGAACTCAGTCAAGACCACCGTTGTCCTTGGAAACAAAGCTATCTAAGAAGAGACAGCGCTTTCTCTCTTCTCTTCCTCTCTCCGTCTTCGTCTTTCTGTATGCCAAAGCAGCATTGTAGTGTGGTCCAGCACAACATTTTTTCCTGTGTTTTGGTGTTGCTTTTTTTTTTTTTTTTTTTTTTGTAGTCAGCAAGACAGCCTAATGAAGGAAGGCCCACATGAAAGAAAAACCAATGGTCTAAAATAATGAGTCTGGCTCAGAAGGACAAGAAGCATTTTTAGACATCATAGTCAGTTTGCTAGCCTTTGTGTAATACTCTTAAGTTGTGATATATGATTTATTAATTTGTTCTTCTACTCATTTGCATTTCATATTAGCAGACAGATTTTAAAGAACTGATAGAACACTAATTTATTTCGTAAAGCATTTGCAGGAGACTTTGCAGACAAATAAAAACATTATGTTATTAAAGAATACTGCTTCTAAAAGAGAAAACACTGTGACCTCTTTAGCCCTGAGACAGGCAGACACGCACGGCTGAAAAGGCTGTATTGAACCAAGTTCTTCTGTTAGCCTGCACTGAACTGCATGCAGAATCACGCTAGCTGAAGGTCGTTTGTAAGAGGCTTTGAAGGTTTGGAAACGCTCTGCATGTTTAATACTTTACACGCGGCAACTATGAGAGCCTCAAGTCTGTAGCTGTTGGGAAGGCTCAGTGTAAGGCTGCCCTCTGACGGCAAGCATTTCCTACAGCGAGTGCAGGGAGTAGCACAGCAGGACAGGCTGCACTGCACACACAATCCCCAAGGTAGAAGAAACATGTCAGACGTGGTCTCTTAGAACGAACAGGATGTAGACATCAGCATACATAACCCTGACCCTTCAACTCGCAGAGCGTAACAACAGTTTCCAACTTGACTTCTCTGTCAAAATGACAAAAGCATCATTTCCTCGTCTACATATTGCACTGGAGTTTGGCTGCACTTTGTTACTGGACTCAGCAGAATTTGGCACCGCAACTGGATTCTCTATCCCTCCTTTTCTACACTGAAGCGTTGGAAATTCTGGCCTCAGTGTAGGGCTGTGATAAACATCTCAATAGTCTCGTGTCCATCTTCGCTTAAAACTCTCTAAACGCTCTAGGCCACTGCAAGAGAACTGTGAAGAGCAGTGTCATGTGGTCTTACACTCCCTTATGCATCCTTTTTCCTTTCCATTACCACCTTACTCCCAGCATAACACAGCAGGAGGTCTAACACAGAATGACTCTGTTAGTCCTACACAAAGTAAGAGAAAACAACACAGCGCTGCTGGACCAGTATAAAAGAGACTACAATTCAGAACAAAATCTGTATCTTCATCTACATGTTACGCAATGAAGTGACCCACAGGCATGCCTGACAAAAACTATATAAATTCAAACAAACAAACAAACAAAAAAAAACAACACAAGAACAAAACAACAAAAACAAGAGCTTTTCTCTGAGGTAGGATTTAACCCATTTTTTTTGGGTGAGGGACAAAACAGTCTTCAAAACTAGTTTCAGGACACTATAACCTAATGCCTGAATAAAGTGAGAACTATCATAATCATCTTCTCATACCAGCATTTAATGTACAATACCCATGTTAAAATTCTGTGCCATGCTTGAGATGCTTGCAGTTTTGAAGGTTCACACTTAGAAAGAAGCTGAACAGGCAGAACCTTGCCCATTCATGAAAATAAGTCCTTCTAAACAACTCCTTCAACATCACACAATCTAAAGGGCAATTTATGTACTTTTCCAATTTGCTGCTGCAAAGCAGAGGGGACTGGTGAATATGGGTAGTAGCTTGGTGTCAGAATCCAGGAATATTTCCATCTCTGCTGCTTGTGAATGAGTGTGGAAAAAGAAGTACAGTTGATAGCACTTGGAAATGTGATGATCTGGGTATTCATTGTACAATAGAATGATTCCCTTGGGATTACATTACTGTACCAGTTTTCTGCTGGGTGAGCTTTTGTGCACACCCGAACACAGCGGATGCTCTAGTTGTAACTGAAATACATGCAAGTTAAAGAGGGTGGCTTACCTTGTGTTGTTCCATCTAGTCCCATGAGACATTTCATTGCCCTGATGATTTGCTCTGCCACAGGCGGACACATAGATGTGGCGTACACAGCACTGTGAGAATGTGTTCGTAAAAAGTCCACAAGGTCCTTACACAAGCAAAACAAAGTATGAATGAGCTTTGAGGTGCCCAAATAGCAGATCTCCCTTTTAACTACTGCAGAGTGAGAACATGCGAAAAAAAGACGTTTCACCAGTTATTGGTTTACTTTCTTGGCTGCTACTGTTAATACGCAGCCTGAAGAAATATCAGGTGCAAGTACTTTACAATTTAAGTGGGGCAATTATAGCTGAAACAAAGCTCTGGAACAGAATGCTGTTTATGTGCTGAAACTTATTATAAAGGAGCCAAAATCATTTAAAGACCAAAAAACAGCTGCATTTAAAATACTGTTCAGTCCATCTCCGAATGGGAATGAAACAAAACCTACGTGACAACAGCAGAGTTTTTTTTCCCCAAGACCTAACACTCAGCAAAAACAACCTTACTAGGATCTATCTTTGGCTATTAGCATACACATTTCTTAGAACTGAAACTTTCCATCAGTGTGGCAGGTTCTGTCATGTTATAATCAGTATAGGTGCTTTAACATTTCCTTGTATAAGCAAGAGCACAATCTGTGGTCTCAGCAAAAGCATTGCTGTACTGTAGGCATATCTAAAGCACCAGCGACTCTTCTGAATGCAGGGATAGGGAAGGAATTCAGAGCTTGATTAGGACTATCATTGCTATGACAACTCGTATTTCACAGTGCAGATTGCAGAGTAACTGTCATCACACTAAAAGTGAAATGCATTGTAGTGAGAAAGGAGTGATGCCTGCATGAAAATGGTCTTTGATTAATAATAGTAATAGTAATAATAATAATAATAATAATAATAATAATAATAATAATAATAATAAAATCACCAAATAAACAAAGGTGGCTATACAAATTATTGCAAAAAATAAAAATAAAAAAAATATCCTTTAGTCTATGCTGTAACTCCAGTGCTAGGGAAAAAGATTTATTTAACTTCATATGCATTATGCATTGCTGCATTGCAGTTGTAATCCTAAAGGTTTAACCAGATAGCTGAGAAGGCATCTGTGCTCTTACTGACACAGCAAAAAATGCCACAGTGAGATTTTGGTGGCAGAAATGAATGCAGGTGAGCAGCTGCCACCAAGGCCCAGAAGCCTGAGGCAAAGCTTAGTGATAAACACAGGCGTAAGAAGAGCGACCTCTTTCATTTAAAAAAACTTCCTAGGGTTAGATAATGAGACCTTTTTTTCACAGGTCTAGGCTTCCTCTCATTTCTAGCTGTTAGCCATATTGTCCTTCATAGAAGTTTAATTTTTAGATACGAATTCAGGAAGCAAACAAAAGAAAGTTGATTCTTTACACTTTATGATAGTCTTTGTTAAGAGGAAAAAACCCCTAAAGATGGTGAAAAATATACACCGTATATTTTCTTATATCCCTTTTGTTCTACTCAAGTGCTACCCTTATTATTACTATCCTGACAGCATCCATATGGACTGTCTAAGAAGGCTTCCTACTCATTTAGCAATCTGCTTAAGAAATACATTCATGGAGTATGAAGAGAGTAAACAATCAACAACCACTTCATATCTCTGCTAAGCAACAAAAATGATGACATTTCACAATGGCACTGATTATGCTTTCTTTTCTACTACACTCCTACTTAAAACAAGCTCAGCTCTACTTTTCATTGACATCTGTTGTTGACAAGAAGATTGTTTTGTTGTTTTGTTAATGTACACAGAGCAACTGAGGACACAGATTTTACTATTGCAAAAGGCCCTCAGTAAACCCTCTTTCACCATCCTCCTAAAAAAAATGCAACTATGACAATCCACAACTGTTCAGGAATTTTATTATCAGTGGATGAAACTGTGGCTTTAATCTCTCAATATTGCTCCACACGCTGTTTACAAATATGAAATAAAGTAACAAGCAGTCTGCATGCAAATTAATGTAGTGAAGTATATTTAGCCAACCACAAAGTGTCTAAACATTTCCAAGACAAACAACAATCATCAGGGTGGCACGGAAATACCCTGCCCAAGCAAATTACATAATACGAACATGAGACAAAAATAAGAAAGTCTGACTGTTTGATGTGCATTTGGGATCCAGACAAAAGTGGTACTATCTTTAGAGTTGTGCTTCTGTAAAGCAGTCTATGTGAAAAGATAATAAAATATATCACCCAATAAGAAGGTACTTTTCTTCCCCTTGATGTTAAATATGTGTTTTCCTTTACCTTTTTGCCAGCTATGTATCCTCCAGCTGCACCAAAGCTCTTTGTGAACGTTCCCATTAATACGTCAACATCATCAGGACTCATACCAAAGTACTCCACAACTCCTCGTCCTGTTGCTCCCACTGCACCGATGCTGTGAGCTTCGTCCAAGTAGAGGTAGGCTTTGTATTTCTTCTTCAAGGAGACTATCTCTGGCAGGCGCACAATGGACCCTTCCATGCTGTGGATGGAGAGAATTCTGGATAAACAACAAACACAGCACCACCCTTTCTCCTTAAAATACTGCAGGAAAACATAGACATTAATTGCATAGCACAATTTCCTCCATGGAAGATCTTATGCAAACTCAGTTTATATTTACAGAGAAATATTGCAAACTTCTCACAACTGCAGGTGAGTATAAAACAGTCAAGCAGTTTTACAATTCAAGTAATGAAGAACAGTTAAAATGTTCTCGTGTATCTGTAAATTGCTAAAAGAAAACAGAAGGAAAGGCATAAAGTAAGGGGGGAGATATCCATCCAAAGCAATATACTACATTTCACTACAAATAAAATATATTGTAATGAATTATAAGGAAATGATATAATTCACAGTCTGGTCTTTTCTTACTTCATCTATCTTCTGCTACTGTGGTGATATCTGGGGGTAACAGCTTTAGAGAAAAATTACTCCAGTGCAGAGGAATTGGGTCTAACACAGATCAGATGGCCCACACGAAATGCACAGACAGTGCCATAACTCAAAGTACTCCAGTCTTTAGAGTGGAGAGAATCAGGGATTAGAAAAGGTAGCTCAAATCTACTATTGACAATTGCTGCTCCTGATATTTTTTTTTTTTTAAAAAAAAAAAAAAAAAAAGGGAAATGCAGCCTGCTGCCTAGCATTCCAAAGGAAAATCAAGTTTCCATTCTTTTTCTATTTATATTCTTACAGCCATGCAGGAAATTGAAATATTCTAAATGTGTACTAATGGTGTGTAGAGAGTTCTAGAAATAAGAAAAGATGATAAATCTTTTGTGCTGTTGGTAATGACATCAGTAAGTTAGAAGGCACAGAGGAGCTGTACAGCAAAATGAAAGCCCTGGGAGACATAAGAAATGCACTCTAATCCTATAAAGATGAAGTATCAATAGTATTGCTGTGAAGACTATTATGTCTTGAAAACCTTTGTGAGATGACTAAGGCTACGCTTGGATACGCTCTGCTGCACTCAGCATTCATTTCATAATGAGTTAAACATGTTCTCTTCACTAGCTCTAGCGAGCAGGTCTTTAAATGCTAAGTACTTCCTATCAAACGCAAAGTGAATGCACCGTGTGCCAGGAAAACCAGTGCTCTGTGGCTACTACCTAAAGCGTATTCAACTGCATGTGCTACAGGAGCTTCAGATAGGCAGAAATGTCAAGTTTGTTCCCAAGTGGCAAGTGAAAAAAGAGCAGTGTCATCAGGATAATTTCTTAGCAGTTTTTTGATCCTGGACCAGTGGCTTTCACTGATTCTTTTCCTTACACTCAAGCTGCACTGTGCAGCAAGAAAGGGGCAGGAGGGGCTCTGGACACTTGGGACATTACTGACAGTTTTTGCCCTCCTTTTCATCCTTTGGTCTCCTGAGTAAGCTTGGAAACAAACTGGTTTTGAAGGAGGTATTTGTTCCCTGCCCATCGGCAAGCCTGCATGAGTCTGAAAGACCAGCACTGGGGAGCAGCCAGGGACACGGGTTGCCTGTGGTGTTCAGGCTCAGAGAGCCTGCCTGCGTGCACCTGGATGCACATTTTTGGCCATCAGGTGATGCCTATCTTGCCTAGCCCTAGAAGAGGCAGCTGTGGGTGTGTGTATCAACACCATTCTTGCTTGCAGCAAAGGGTGGACAGGCTTGTGCTGCAAGCTCCAAGGACTGAGCTTTCCCTCCTGTCACCCTGTGCTGGGGACAGAGCCCTCCAGCAGCCAAGCGGCACTTGACAGCTTGGGGAGAAGGAACTTGAACCACCACAGCTATTTTCCTAATGAGTACAAGGTCAGAGCCCGCAGTCCTCACATAACCCAGAGTCAAACCATTAGTCAGCTAAAAATTATACCAAGCCACCAGCTGTGCTGGGGCATGCAGCATCCTGCATCCTAGGGAGTGCAGCTTCTGGCCACCTGGTCAGCTCGTAGGCTGGCTGAGTGGTCAGAGAGCAAGTGTGGGGCCAAGGAGCTCCTCTGCAGAAAACGAACAGGCATCCCACCCTGCGCCTTCCAGCAACAGCTGGGGAGACCAGCTCAACAGAGAATAACAGTTTTCCCACATTTACATAGGCATCACAGCACACTGGCTCATGGAGATTCAGGTGGGAGATAAAGCATTTAACTTCAAAAAGAGCAATAATGGTAAATTAAAAATACAGATCTTATGCAAACATTGCATATTTGCCATTTTCAGTGATGAGTTAGTGCTTTTTAAAGATGCCTGCTGACACAAATGTTGCAATAATTGATAGAGATCCTAACATGGCTTTGAAACATCCTTGGAATAGGTAAAGCCCTGCTGGCTTCAGGTACATTTTCTGTGCTGCCATTTGAATCGGCCTCCATCCTCCTCATGACAGAGATGAAAGCTGTTTCTGTGCCTACCCAACTCTTTGATTCTTGGCCATTTGACCCTGGGAGATGGCTTGTGATACGAACATCCTTCTGTTTAGAATTGCTCCAAGATAAAACTCACTTCGTATATCCCCTTGGGTAGCTCAAATGGAAAGTTTACTGAATCCTTCAGTAAATATTGCTGTCAACTGAGTTTAAACCAGAGAACCAGAAGTGAACTGTAATCTCTCTGTCTCAGTCTGACTGCGTCACTTTTACAAAGCTATTGATCTGTTTCCAGATCTGCTCAGGCACACAGTGCACGTCTAAAGAGCTGTATGCAGATGAACGTAAGCTGGCTCTGCCCAGGCCAGACATAAGCATTATGTGGTATTACATCCTGTCTCACAGTAAAAATTATTAGCTTGGCTGCAGGGATATACAGCTTCTAGATTGCAGCTGACCCTCATCTCCCTTGCTCAGAGGGTGGCAGAAGAGCTTGCTTAAGTATGCATTCATTTTGAATCTACTTCCAGACATGAGGAGCTAACCCAAAATGTGGGGAATCAATTAGTTTTGAGGCTTGGTTCAATCCCAACAAACCTGAGATCCTTCCTGATGCAGCTGATGAATTCTAGAGGCAGGTGCGTTGAGACACAGGAGGTGTGTATTTTTTGTGCTGGTCACCTCTCCTGGAATACAGACTTGCTATACTGGCAGGGTTTTTTTTTTTTTTTTTTTTTTTTTTTTTTTTTTCTGTCAGAAAAAGTGATTTACCAATATTCAACCTATCATCTTCATAAGTGCATCACTCAACTTCCCTAAACCTGCCCTACAGTATCCCTATCCTTTCAACATTTGACAACTTGTCTGTTTACTATCAGGCTAGTTTGCATTTGGGAAAATCTCTTTCTTTCCTGACCTATTGCTCCCAAAATATATGCACTGCATTTTAATATTTACTTTAGGGATTTTTTTCTCATATAAACATTGGATATTCACGCTACAATCTCCATTTTGTAGTTTAGAGCAATAGTTTAAGGAAACCCTCTAATAACACTGCCCTCATATACAACCCCATACACTGAAATGATAGAAATGTTAACCTTTAATGATGGTCCCTGGCCAAAGGCATTAAATGTTACCCCATTCTTTTCTGAAGTCCTGTCATCTAATCCCAGGAAATAAAAAATAACCCTGATAAATTTCTTATGGTATTGGCACTGAATCCCCAGGAACTTCTAGTGCACATGAAAAGGCACTGGATAATATCCAATTGATCAGAGAGCTATTTTCTGAGCTGGAAGGAAACATAGAAATATACCCAAATTAAATTAAAAGCAGGGGAAAAAATCTGTTTCGATCAGTTTCTAGTACCTCGTAACTCCTGCCCTCATCCTTAGCCTATCTGACTCCTAGGTAAATATGTGTGCAAGAGAGCAGAAGTCTACCACAAACCGTGTAAGAACATAGTAACTGATTAATCCTGAACTGGAAATAGTAGAAGCCAAGAAAAACATTAGCTGGATATTTAAATAATAGAAATATGATTTCGCAAGTCACTTTAATTTATGCCCTGGACACTGCCAAAACTTGTTCATGCTTTTTGTACTGAAGATTGATGGCTGGATGGTCTCTCTGTTTGGAAGGAAAACGAAATATATTTGCTCCTAGGCTAGGCCAAGTTAAGAACTAGCTTTCACTAGTAGTTACATCTACTTCTGATGATTTTTTTCTTTTTAAGATGCTAGAGACATTAAAAAGCAAACAATCATATACTTATTGCTATTTATTTGACATGTAGCTTGGGTGCTTCCCAAGTCAAGGGGCCAATTCTGCCTTTGGTTGTAACCAAGCAAAATCTGTGGCTTATGGTTTCAAACGCAAGTCTGATTTCCAGAAATGCTCATGTTGGCTAACAACGACCCTTTTCAAATTTTGCCAGCTGGTAACTCCAGGCGTATGAGCAGAGTAAACACTTTAACATACCCCTAATGCAAACAGAAGGCAAATTTTTTTCCGTACCATCAACTTCACCATACGACGACTATGGTGTCCCATTTAACAGTATTTATTTAAAATAGGAAAGCTTAGCATTTCTTTTGCATCTCTGGAAAAGGCATTGCTGTAAACATTTGCCAAGCCAAACTTGCAAGTCAAGGTATTTTAACTTGGAGAATGGCTCTGACCAAGTTATTTAAATTCTGTATTAGTTGTTCCCAGAGCAAAACTTCTCTAAGTCCTTGGGAGGGAAGGAAAAAAAAAAAAAAGGCAATATTGATTGTTTTAAGAAGAATACATTAACAAAAGTCTGCCTCCTCTTAACACCTTTAGATGAATGTTGATCTGGCAAATTTGCAAGAGAATTAACATTAGCCAATCTTGGGGTTGGAAAGTTTTAGTCTTTCAAAAATCATGGGCCAAGAAAGGACAGAACATGTACACAAAAAAAGTAAGAGCACTTCTAATGTGTCTTTCTCCAGCTTTTTGTTTTGCATGTGAAATGTTATTAAACTACTTAGACTACATGGCTGGTGAATCTGTTCCCAGCTGTGCTGTAAGGACAGATCAGCTGCCTGTGTCTTGGGTTGGCAGTGATGGCAGGGACACGGCACAGTGGGGTGTGGAGGTATTCTCCCTCAAGTCAAGGCAGATTTTCTTTGCAACCAAACCACAATCTTCAATTTCTGATCTGCTTAGACTAAGAAAACAACTAACCAACCAACCTAGCTACTGTTGGGGCTTGTTCCAGTGACATTAGAGAGCTGAACTTTGTGGGTTTATTTATTTATTTACTTTATGCCTTTCACAAATATTGATGCTTAGGACATGAGTGGTCATAACACTGTTCAGCTCTATAGGGGTGAGTGTGATATAAATGAAGTAGAAACAAAGAAGTATAACATCTGATTCCCTGTGTGTCTGATATTTCTCTGGCAATCAGAAGGAAGTGACATAGTAGGGCTGAGACTCTAAAGGAAATAAAATGTAAGTAATTTGATTGTCAAATCCCATTGAAAAGCAGTAACTTATGAACTGTTATGTACCACTACCAATTCCTCTCTAAAATAAAAATTCCTTTTTGGTGTGGTTGTCTGAGGTTTAACATGTTTTTATTTCACATCCTAACAGATGGATGTGCAAACTTTTGAGAAGGAAATCTTTGAAAATCAACTGCAAAAAGAAAAGCAAAACAATGCTCTATACCAAACATACATCTGGAAAGACAGCTGCAAGTATTGCAGCTATCAGACAGTGGGTTTGGCCCACTGCTTAAATGGATCTATGCCTCTGTGGTTACCAATCTACTGTCTTTCTCCCTAGTGGTCAATATCCAGAGCAAAGGATTTAAAAGTGAACAAAGCTCAGCAGCTGGAGCATTTTCTGCAGGCCATGTAACTGATGGCAATATTTGTCAGTAAAATGTTGGTGGTCCACTTAATTTCTGTATGATCAAAGTCCTTAAATCTGAGCTTTCTTTTAGTAGTACCAAGCTATGTTTATTTGCAGTTTTGCTCTGTTTATTCTGGTTGAAAGGGGACGTTCAGCCTGCTTTGGATCAGCTGACCTGTTTCAGCTCTGAGTGACAGGTGTTTAGATAAGGACTGATTTGTTCTCTTTGCAGATGGAAAATGTTAGGTAAAAAGAAAGCGCCGATGACTATGAAGTTGTGATGAAACGAGATTGTAAAAGAGATCTTCTGAAAAAGACTAAGCTGCTAAACTGCACTACCACTTCTCAATAGAATGGTGTGACTGTCTCTCTGCAGCGACTACATTTCAGCAACACATGAAATAATCTCTGCATATAAAGTTTAAGGTTCCTTTCATAAACCATGTCACATCCTGTGAATGATTGGTCTTGCCTCCCTTCTCTCTAGTGCTAGAGGTGCTACTCCTAAACCTCACTCTAAAACTCCTAAACCTTCTACTCACCCTCTCTCATCATCCTTGCTGTAGCCTTGCCTAGATCCCTGCTTCTTCAGTCCATCCCTCTTCTTCAAAATCTCCAGCTCTCCCTGTGTTCCTGCTGTCCAGCTCCTTACCCAGCCTCTGAAGACTCCAGTGGCTCCCTCTCCGTGCTGTCCATCAGCCCCATGCCACCTCTCCAGCATCTGAATTCTGACTTGAGCAGTTGCCAGGATGAAGCCCAAGGTGGTGAGCCTGGCTGGTGCCTCTGCTCCGCTGCCCAACTCCAGCGATGGTTTGTCCCTCTGGCTGGGTGCAAGATGCACCACTAGTGAATTGGAGCAAACTGACTAGGAAGCTCTTTAATTACATCATATCACTGATAATGATGTTACCTGATGGATTCTCAAAGACATCTTCTTTCATTCAAATTCCTCCAGGGACCGAGGTCTAAATTAATACCACTATATGATTCCTTGAAAGTCACTCTTGTTACTGTTTTTCCTGTTAAAGTTTGAGTCCCTTAGATCCAGCACTGATAAATGGAAAGGTGCTGGTATCACTTGGCCAGTGTTTGAGGTTTTAATTTCCAACAGCTGGGTAAGAACTGGGCATGCAGAAAGAACTTAACTAGGAATGACACTGTTGTCTTTTGATCTGCTAGTGCGTAACACATAACTCTGGAAAACTCAACTTTGCAAAACTCCTCACCCACTGCAGCTCCATGAATTTTATCACATCTGTGGCAACATACACCAGCTGATGATCTATCTTGCTCTCACAGTACATAATAGCCTGCTCCACAGTGATTTTACTAAATCAACATTCAGAACACCACAGAGGACCTAACTGAAGTGAGTAATGCCACAGGGTACTAACTGAATGAAAATTAACAGCTTTATAAGATCACTGAGGATGTTATTGTAAACTCCATTCATTTCAGTTTTCTTTCAGATACCTAAGTCAATGATCAATACATCATTCTGTCCTCAGAAATGATAAAGAGTACTGATGTTTCTAAAACACACATACCTGTAAATGCCCTCCACGAGGATGATAATTTTTCTCCATGCTCTGCGGCTTCGAGGCTGGCCATATATTATTGCATCTCTCAGTAACTTCTCGAGACTTTGCATATCTTTATTTAAAAATAAGTAAAAGGAGAACATTAACAAAGATTTTTCAAATTAAATTTTTGTTTTTTCTACCAGTTACTACTTTTTCCTACAGAAAAAACAAAATCACATAAAAAAAAAAGTTATTCTGAAGATAAAATTCCTTTGCTGGCAGGCAAGACCAATAATTGATTTTATTTGCCTGAATGCAATCTTGTGATAAGTAGAGTTACAAAACGCTTTCAGTTATGCACCCCTTCTGGGAAATTTCTGAAAATTCTTGGCACGCATTTTTATTTAAAGACAAAATTTAACCACTTTGCTTAAGTACTGAGACTAATTGCAGCAATTCTCTGTACAGGTTGCTGATACTCATCATATCACAAAGCTTTTGAATAGGGAGTATTCGGTTGCTTTCCCGCATCACCAAGGGCTCGTGAATCACATGCACTGCTTCAGCAAAAGCTTGAATCAGGATGCATGCAGTACATCAGCATAGCAGCAAGAAAAATCCTGTCCTTCTCAGGAAGAAAAGCCAATGAAAAAAACGTTGATGAGAAAGGGAGAGAAAAGTGGGTACAAGTACACAACATGGATACGCTAATTAGGTGCCAGAATGCTTGGAACTGGCAAGACCTTGATATAAGGAGGCCTGGAGCAATGTTAGAAATTTAGCTGCTTTCTCAAGGTCTGATTGCAGATAAGCTAATAAAATGCTAACAGGAAAGCCACTGAAGTTTTCAAAAACACAGAAAAAAAACAACCACAGGCACAAGAGTCAGATCAAAATGTGACTCTCAGTGCAGAGGTGAAATCAGTGTTCTGGTGTCTGCACATGGACGAACTCTCTCCAGAATGAATTACAATGCTACTTTTCAGGAATCTGAACTGACATTTCAAAACATTTTCAAAGAACACCTTACAGAGACTCACACTACACCAAGGAATGCTGGAGATCAGCTCAAAGTTTTGGTTGGGAAAATGAATGGCATTTTGTCCTGATATGAACCCAGTTTTTCAGCAACACATCTTAACATAGTTACTGTTACCTAAAATTATACAAAGCTAATCTTTAAAATAGAGTTCTCCCAGCTGAAGCAAAGACGCTTTAGTTATATTAGTGTTAACCTAGAGCTTGGTTTCCACCTGACTGGAACCAGGCAGTTTGCACAGTACCTGTCCATCACCACGAATAACCTGAGAGCTGAGAGATGGCTAGATATGTCCTGAACCCTTAAGCTTTGGTACCTTGATGTTTGCTGAGGTCCTGGTCTCAGTGAAAGGTGCATTTCTCAGAAACATCCGTGCCACTCTGCACTTTACAGTGTGATCTCTTGACCTAGCAAGCCCTTGCTTTAACTTGCAAAGCACAATACATACATGATAAGCCCTTATTTCCACTGTGCAATCACCTGTACAACTGGATGGGTTCCCAGATGGAAACGCTTTTATGAATAATGCAATGCAGACAGCACAGTTTCCACTAGATGGCAATAAAGGAAATAAAAATTCTTTGGTGCTTTAAAAAGGGAATTTATAACCACACTGAGCACGTTTTGTGAAAGAGAGCTGCTCACCTTCTCTTCTGGGTAGATAATATTCAGAAATCCTTTTCGGTTCTGAGAATTAAAGGACTCCACAGAATGACAGAAAGTTCATGGGTTACAAAAATGAAATAAGATATTCAGTCTTGAACTCAAATTTAGGCACAAATTTTAGCATCAAATTTCTCTCCTGAATGTAATTGTCTTTGTCATCTAAATTCCTTTGAGACTTTTGAAACTCCCCTCTGAATCATGCAGGGTGCTTCAATTCTGTATTCTGTCTACTTGTCAGTCCAGATTTGGGGAAAGTCAGCTTACCCAACCTCTAAGCTGAAATCACAGCTTGGAAATTCAGTTTTCACATGAGCCCACAGAAAGAAAGAGGAGAGGCTTATGAAACGCATATCATTTTTTTTTTTTTTTTAAGAGCTATTTGAAAAAGTCCATGGATGTAAATCGCTCCTCTGTCCCAATGAGTGTACAACGCAGGACTGCAGATATAAAAGAACCTCTCCAAGGCAGGAGCTTGCCTGACTTTACCCATGACAGTCCTGCTGAAGTTAAGGACATGTCTGCTTTCAGGATCAGGGCTATCTCACTCTGCTTTTGATGTCTCATTCTGAAAAACATGTAGGGGGGCCTTTCTTAAGCCTTTAACAGCCAACACATTAATTTTCTTAGGTGCAAATGAATTTTACTGAACCTTATACTCTGTGCTTGCAGCATTTCATTTGGAAAAGGGAAATTGAAAGGAGAAAAAATATCTATTGCCTTGAATCTGCCCTCCAGAAGGCAGCTTCTGTTATTCAGACAAAGTAAAGTTGTTTTCTGTGCACTTGGACTTTCCAGACAGTGGGGTATACTGTGGGGTATACTCAGTTTCAGGAAATAGAAGAAAGTCATCTGGGGTTGCACTACCAAATTATTTGGCCATTAAATATGGTTCAACTGGGGGAGGGAGATGTTGCACGAGTCCATCTCGAATAACCAGTTATGGGAAAAATAACTGTCCTTCCTCATTTGACCATCACTAGCCCAGGCTTTTCAGTGGTAGAGGCTAATGACCGTTCACCAGGCCTAGGAGGTGGTGGTAGGAATTTCACTTAGTTAATTACTCAAAGCACAACCAAACTTATCCTTTGCCTCAGTTTCCACCTTATCCCTTTGAAATAGTGTTTGGATTTAGAGGATAAGGTTTCCTAAGCAGGGGCTGTGGATCACTGCGGTTTTTAGAATTTAATAGAGACTTGCACAACCCTTGTTTGGGATCTTTCAGAGTTACTTCAGCAGAAATAACACCACAAACTGCCAGTGGGTCAAGGCGAGCCTGGACCTGGGCGGGCTGTGTGTCATGCTGCCTCCAGTGCAGGTGGGACTCCAGGCTCCTGCACGGGCCCCTGCCTTCTCCCAGGCACGATGTGCCTCCTCCTCACAGGTAGACACGGCGTCTCCACCCCTCAGCTCCACATTACAATGCTGGGGACATCATCACCATTCCTCTGCGTGGGCTGAACACCTCCTGTGTGATGTCAGCCGAATCCTTTTTAATTAGGATAAAAAGGCTCCCACTACCCTTATCGCATTCTCCTTTCCTTCCTATTGCACTTGCCACTCTCGTTGTCAGTTTCTCACATTTTGAACTCTTGTGCAAGTTCTTTAGGCAGACACTGTGGCTACCTGCCCCTTCCCAGTCTCCCACACAACCAGCTCCCCCCTGCTGCAGCTCCTGCCTCTCCTCTCTTGCTCTCTCCCCACTGATACCTTTCCTGGTCACTGTCCTCTCATCGGTGACCCGACTGCCTAGCTCTGATGCTGTCCCTCCTTCCAAATCCCTAGAGCAAAGGGAAACCACTGCAAGGCTTTCACTGAGCTAAACATCACCTACCTCTGGGACTGTAAAAGTGAAATTTTCAATTTTCATTCTAGTGAAAACTAGACTTTGAAAAGTCTCTGACTGCTGGCACAGCTCTGAACAGAAAGAGTGCCCTTGGAGTCATTTGCCTGAAATCACAGCTGGGATTATTTTTGTTTGGAATGGTTGGGGGTGGTATAGGGAAGTGGTAGTTACTGCAGCCACAGCAATAGTCTTAGATCCCCCTTCTTAACTCCAAGAAATACACAGCTGGGTGTAAGCAAAGAGCACTCGCTCAGGAAAAATTCGTGCTCACATGTGGCAGGTCAGAGATGGCTTTCTCAAGTCAGAGAGGGCAAATGCAGACACAGCACACTAGGAGCAGGATATACCAGTCTTCTCTCTGTGGCAGCGTCTGTATGTGTCACAGGGAAATACATGTCAAACTGGATTAGACTGTGGTCGATCTATCTAGCGCAATAATCTTGTCTCTGATAGTGGCCAGAGGCTTCAAACAGGACAAAACCTTAGTGGGTAATGTGCCTTTCATCCTGCTCTGTAATAGCAGGAACAGAGCCCTCCCTTCTGAAATTCAAGGACCAATTACACCTCCAAAGGAAAAAAAAAAAAAAAACAACAAAAAAACACACACACACAAAAGGACCTGTCTCATATGAAGCCACTGTAAGCTTATTTATTTATTTTACTAATACAGATTTTTGACTAATTTTTACTTATTAATTTATCCCTGTTGTTTTCTCTCCACTTTATTTGTTTACTTGCTTAAAGGCATGTAACTGTATCCCCCCGCTCCCTTTTTTATTTTTTAGCTAGAGAATATATTTGCACTGGAACATGAGGGCCTTCTGCTATCCTTTCAGTGTTAATTACAACTCCAGACAGCTGTGCTTTCTCTAAGGCATCCTTGTGGCACACACAAAGTTTAGTTTGACTGAGTGGACCAAGAAATGCCAGATATGGAATAACAAATTCACCTGTTGTCCAAGCAGGAACCATTTTGTATGGAAACCTGAACAGCTCATGCCTGCATGACACACAGCTGTCCTCAAACACCTGAGCTGTGAGAACCCCCAAAAACCCTCACTATTTTCACAACACTCCTGCAAGGTCCATGAGGAGGAGGTAGGAATGTACCACCGCAATCCTCACTTTTCAGATGTGGATTCAAGCGCCAGATTTGAGGTCAGATTTTCATCTACCCAGGGTGCTCGGTTGTGCCTTGCAATTGCCTGCATTCCTCACAGTATCACTTACTCTGATTGCATGTTGAAGTGCCTTTGCAATGAAGAGAACTGGAATTTTCTTTTCCCCCGTGGCCTGATTTCTGTGAGTAGTCACGACATTCTCACAGGTTGCTCAAGCAATTGCAAATCTAACCCTGAAAATGTGACTGCAATTTAGCTGCTTGATGCTATAAGGCAAAAATGCAGTTGAACTAGAAAGAACAAACAAATCCTAAGTCTCGTACAGCATGTCCTCATACAAGCTCATACGAACAGAATTCACCTGGATGTAGTTAGTCAGGAACACCCTCATTTGTCCACTGAATGAGCAAAGATATGCTCTCACCTGATGCTAGTACAAGGCACAGAATTGCTGCAACTGA